ATATTATCTAATTAAATCAAATAAATTCTAAGGCCCATATTAAATAATGTGTGTGATATTATTTAGTCCCATACGGAATATTGACTCGATGTTGACTTCACTTATACATGCGGGCTGTGTCTGTCTACGTCGTTGGATGGTTGAGTGGAGGCATGGCCGTGTCATGCCATGGCCGACGCGACGCACGTGGTGTAGAACATGAAAAGTTGTCACTCAAGCCATTTATGAGTAGGAGTTACGGGAGTTATCAAGTGATGGGAGTTTCTGCCCTCAATTGGGAAAGTTAATGCGGTAATAACGGGAGTTTGGGAGTTTTTGCACCCAAAGTGAAAATTGATGAGGAAGGTTACGGGAGTTTTTCTCCCATAGCGTCGTGCCTCCTCCGCTTCCTCTCCCGCTGGCATCGCGCCCTCTTCGCTCCCTGCTGGCATGAGATAAAAGAAAGACACACTTCAACATTCAGTTGGCTTAGTCTCTAATGCACACAAGTCTTCACACTTCTGCTGCATCCAAGGCTTCTCCGTCTCGGTTCCTGCGAGCACGGGAATAGGGAGAGCAGGCCTCTGAAACCGGGTTGTCTTCGTGTTCATCTGCTCGGGTGAAGGGCGGCCATCAGGTTTTTGGAGAGCGATCACGCGACTGCTCGATCGTTCGACAACTTCATCTTCTTCCCGACGTTCGTGGCATCGATGGGAGATCGACACTGCAACATCTCTGCACTGTATCGAGCAGGACGACTACTCCAACAGGTGCTATGTCGACTAGCGCAACCAGCTTTGGTGCTGCTGGGTATGTTCTAATTCATCCCCTATCGTCAACGATTAAAATCATGATTATTAGTATCATCTACATGTTCATATCACTAAGATCACACAAGCACATACATGATGTCACAAACCTTTTGATTATTGCTATTTTCTAGATTAAATTATTACTGAAATTACCTAAAATTCTAACAAACCAATCAGGCCTTCAGCAGCTACGCTGCAGCAACAATTTCTACTAATGAAGCTCTACCCTCGCAATACTTAGTGAGTGCAATTTTGCATCCGCTCATTACCGGAATCCTCAAATTTGCCAAGTGTTTTTATGTTTGCCGAGTGTATTCCCTCGAGCACTCGACGAATAAGTTCTTTGCCGAGTGTCGCGCTAAAAACACTCGGCAAAAAAAACAGGGCGTTTTGCCGAGTGTCAAAACAAAAACACTCGGCAAAGAGGTTGTTTGCCGAGTGATAAAAAAATACACTCGGCAAAGAAATAAAATCTTTTTTTCTAGAAAAGAAGGAGAAGAAAAAAACTTTGCCGAGTGCTCAGATCTAAAACACTCAGCAAAAAAAAGTATGAGAAGAAAAAAATTAAAAAAAAACTTTGCCGAGTGTCCCATCTGGGACACTCGGCAAACAAAAAAAATCCCACTTAACCTAACCGCGTCCCCATCCAGCACCCCACCCGCCCTCCCGTCCCCACCCCTTCTCTCTCCTCCCGGCCCCCAGCGCCCCCTCCCAACGGCGCTGCCTCCTTCCCCTCCTCTCACGGCCGCCCTCTTCCCCTCCGGTCGCCTCCGCTCCCGGCCCTCTCATCCGGCTCCCCCCTCCCCTACCTTCTTCCCCGACACGGCCCCTCCCTCCCCTTCTTCTTCTCCGCCGGATCCGACCCTTCCCCTCCCCTCCTCCCTTCTTCCGAGCCGGAACTGGGCCCTCCCTTCTTCCCCTGGCCTCCCCACCGGCGAGATCCGGCGGCCGGTGCCGCCCCCTCCCTCCCTCTCTCCCTCCCCCAACGGCGAGATCCAGGGAGGGGCCCCGGCGGCGGAGCACCCCAGGCGGTGGCGGCGGCATGGCTTTGCGGGCGGGGCGGGGCGGGGCGCGGCACTACAGCTGCCTCTCACCCTCGCGGCGCCCGGATCCATGGCGTGGCGTGGCGCGGCCTCTCTCCCTCGTCGGTGCTTAGATCCACGGTGGCAGCGGGCGGAGGCGGTGGCCGGCGAGCACGGGTCCTCGCGGTAGCTGTCTCCCGCGATGTGGATCTAGGGCGAGCGGGGTGGCCGGATCTAGCTCCCTCCCTCGTTCACTCAGCACGGCGGCGTGGATCTAGGGCAGAGAAGGTGGCCGCGGATCCAGGGCAGGGAAGGCGGCCACGCCGTCGCTCAGCACGGCGGCGCGGGCCCAGACTCCCTCCCTCCCTCGGTGGCAGCGCGGATGGAGGCATGGATGGAGGCGGAGCAGGAGCCGGTGGTGGCGTCCGGTGGCTGATGCTTTTTTTTATTTTTTTCAAAAAATGTTTGCCGAGTGTCTTCGCTGAGTGCCCGACAAAAAACACTTGGCAAAACAGCGTTTGTTGATAAACCATTTGCCGAGTATCGTTCGGTTTGCCGAGTGTTTTGGGGGCTTTGCCGAGTGCCCCTGACACTCGGTAAAGCTGCTGTATCCGGTAGTGGTTGCAGCAACAATATTTCTATGGATTTCGGGCACCGGTTAGGTGTACAAATAATATATCATTATAATCATATTAATCGGTACAGAAAGCTCGAAACAAGCAAAATATATTTATCTCTATGTTATGCAACTAGTCATATACCACGTAGGTGCCACATAATTATTCAGGGACTAAAAATTTAAGACCTAGGTACTACTTCTGTCCCAAAAATAATACAACTACGTATTACGTGCCAGTTAAAATAGTTCAAGTTTGCCCAAATTTTTAGTGAATGGTATTCGTATGACTTCAAATCAATTTATTAAGAAAATACATTTCATAATCATAATTAACCTAATAATATTTATTTGATATCACTAATGATATTTATTTGATATCATAAATATTGATAGTTTTTTATATATAATTGGTCAAACTAAATATACTAAAACATGATGTTGTGCTAGAGCTGTATTCTTTATAGGACAGAGGTAGTACCAAACATGTCAGTAGCAACTGGACATGAATACTTAGATCGCATATGATGTTAATTCAAACCTTGATAGGTACCGCAGGTGCAATTTAGCACTCGCACAAGACTCTTGTTCATTTCGGACTCCTACCCGACGAGACTCGTATGTGCGATGTGGCGCCCACGCCCGTGGGTTCAACTGCCGTCCCTAAGCATATGTTTTTTTCTCCATCACGTAAAAGGTTTACGCTTCTTTATATTAAGGTAAAGAAAAAGTTCAATATAGAGGTCAGTAAAGATTTACATAAAACTTAGACCCTTTCTAATGTACTCTAATTTTGCTAGTGTTTGGACGTGGGGTCAACGAGGGATGGGCCGGACCTCATATGCGTTTTGCTAGTTTGATCTTTGATGACCGCATGGATGTGTGGAAGATTATCATTATATATGGATCACCAGGTGCCCCCTGATTTAGACCAAAGCGTGTCACTTCTCCCTCTAATCACGGATTTTAGAAGGTTTTCCTGATTCCTGAACGCACAGCTGAACACGTAGACGGAGATTTTTTTTTTTTTTGAAATCTACGGAGAAAAGCTTTGGTGACACGATGATTCAGAGACACTTCATTCCGGCGTAAATACTACTAGTAGGTCACAGCGGAAAGGCAAAAGGGTGGGATAAGGAAACATAGGTGGGCCAGTGGGTGTTCCATGGGCGATGAATAGCATGAAAGGCCTAATTGGGCCCGATCGAGAGAGAGAGAGTCAGCATGCATGGTTATTACTCCCTTCGCCTTTGGGAGACAACTCTCACGTCTCACACGCCAAGAGGTACCAATGCCAAATTGCCAATGCCTGCTATCATGCCTTGCGTTTCCTGCGGATGCAAATCTGCAGTCGAGACTGGTCCAGCTCTTGGGCGTTGGGAGATTTCAACAATAACGTTCTTTGGTACCTGGCCAGCAGGCAGCAGTTCATTGCCACTTTGCCAGTGTAGTACGGCTGAAGTTACCTCCCAAAATTGGACACCAACATTTCTTTTGTCAGGGGGGTGCGAGCTTAAAGCTTCCACAAGTAGAATGATAGCCCAAGTTGCATTTGAGAGCACTTGATCCATACATATGAGGTGGATTTTTTTTTTTTTTTTCTTTTTTTTTTAAAAAAAGAGGTTGAACAATTTTTCTCCGACTATGGAAAATGAAAGAGGGACATAGTAGAAAGGGAAAAGAAAGAAGATGATGTAGAGCTTTCGTTATGGAAGGAGATTTCCTTGTTTATTGCAGACTCTGCATAATGCTGCACTGCACACGATCATTCATGATTACACGTATTAGCCTGGCTGATGTAGAGCTAGCATCCAGATAATGGGATTCTTGAACGTGAATAGGGAAAAACTTTGGGTGATTTACTACTGTAGTGGACGGTCCAGTTGCTAACGGGGAAAAAAAGTCTGTCCCTTGTTAAACTTTCATTCAGGAACCCGGAGATTGGAGGCCCCTGGAGCTAATCAAGTGGTAGACAACCTTTTCGATGCTAATATAATGATGCATGCACTTCAACTGAAGGAAGGTCTAAACTTTGCCCTCCCTTCTGGACCACAGTCGATTTCCTTATTGTGTCCACAATCAAGTGATCAAGTGCTAGCACAAACAAATCGATGGAGCAAAAGCTCCAAACTACAACTACAACTCAGCCGGGTGAAACTGCAAGGCCCAAAGTACCCACACCTCGCAGCCACCAGAAGCATGAGCCGGCCACCGTGCTGAACTCGTGCTGGTCCCCGGCGACGTGCCACGCCGCGCTCCTCCCCGAATCTCCGATCAGGATTCCTGGCATGCCGGCGCCGGTAAGCACAGTTCCCTGGCCGGCTGGCCGCCGCCGCCGTGCCACCAAACCGGTGTCACCTCGAGCTGTGATCTTGGACCCATTCCTTGCGGTTCCCAGCAGTCCCATCCGTGCGTTTGGATCCTGTCCCGTCCCTCCCCAACCGTAGCCGCCGTAGCCTAGCCTCTCTGTCTGTCCATCTTCTGCATGATATAGGAATAGGATCACGTCCAGTCCAGCTCCCTCCCCACGCAACAAAGCGCGCTGGACTTTCGTCTCAGTCCTTGTCCGCGATGAAGCTCATGAAGCTCGGCACGCGGCCGGACTCCTTCTTCACCTCCGGGCCCGTCAGGTACTGCCTCTGCCTGCCTGCCTCCCGATTCGTTCCGTCCGTCCCACGCTCCCAATGGTGAGTTGCTTTTCTTCTCTGATGAATTGGTGTGGCTTGTCCGTCGACGATGTGATTCCAGGTCTGTCTACACGGAGGTGGCCACCGACCTGCAAATCCAGGTGGATCACTGCCTGTTTCGACTCCACAAGGTAGCTATTCTTTTGCTTTAATCGATAGTGAGATGTTCGGTTCTTAACGAAGTTTGCTCAATTTCCGTTTTTTCCGTTTGTCGTGCGCCGTCGAACTCGGGCAGTTCCCTCTGCTCTCCAAATGCCAGCTGCTACAGGCTCTGTGCGCGGACTCCGACGCCGTCGAGCTGCGGGACTTCCCGGGCGGCGCGGACGCGTTCGAGGCCTGCGCCAAGTTCTGCTACGGCGTCGCCATCACGGTGGGCGCGCACAACGTCGTGCCCCTGCGCTGCGCGGCGGGGCGCCTCGGCATGACGGAGGCCGCCGACGGCCGGGGCAACATCGCCGCCAAGCTCGACGCGTTCCTCGCCTCCTGCCTGCTTCGCCGCTGGAGGGACGCGCTCGCCGTGCTCCGCTCCGCCGGCCGCTACGCCGCCTTGGCCGCCGAGTGCGAGGAGCTCGGCGTCACGTCCCAGTGCGTCAAGGCCGTCGCCAGGCTCATCACGGACCCCGGCGGCGGCGGCAATGCGGCGTCGGCCGCTCAGGCCACGGCCAGCTCCTCGTCGTCGCCGTGGTGGGCGCGTGACGTCTCCGACCTCCGCGTCGACCTCTTCTGGCGCGTCATGGTGGCCGTCAAGGCGGCTGGCGCCGTCAAAGGTAGAGCCGTCGGCGACGCGCTCAGGACCTACGCGCGCCGGTGGCTGCCGACCGTTGTCAAGAGCGGGTACCTGGTGGTGGAACAAAACGACATCAGCACGGCCGACGAGGGGAGTTTCGATTTCGAAGTGGTCGCCAGGAACAGCCAGCTTCTTGTCGAGAAGATGGTGAGCTTGCTCCCCGCCAAGAGGAACGCCGTCTCCTGCAGCTTCTTTCTCAAGCTTCTCAAGGCGGCCAACGTCCTGGGCGCCTCTCCCGCGTCCAAGGCAGAGCTCGCGAGGCGGGCGGCGTTGCAGCTGGAAGACGCCAACGTGAGCGACCTCCTCATACCGTCGTGCGCGAGCGAGAGGCTGTACGACGTGGACGCCGTGATGGCCATCCTTGAAGAGCTCGCGCTGCGGCAAGAGGCGGCGGCGGGGGGGCCGGAGGCAAGCCCGCCGCACGCGCGCGGACACAGACGGTCGCGGTCCGCCGAGAGCTCGGAGTTCGAGGGAGCGCGTCGGTCGACGTCCGCCGCGGCGTCGCACGGCGCGATGGTCAGGATCGGGAGGCTGGTCGATGGATTCTTGATGGAGGTCGCCAAGGATCCCAACCCGCCCCTGGACAAGCTGATCGCCATTGCCGAGGCCGTGCCGGACTGCGCCCGCCCGGAGCACGACCATCTTTACCGAGCCGTCGACACTTATCTCAGAGTACGTCGAAACAAACAGCCGCATTTCAGCTGACGCTGTCCCGATTGATTTTGATGCCTCACTGTTCTTGGTTCGATTTACGTAACAGGTGCATCCGGAGATGGACAAGGGATCGAGGAAGAAGCTGTGCAGGGTTCTCAACTGCAGGAAGCTCTCCGAGACGGCGTCCATGCACGCCGCCCAGAACGAGCTGCTGCCGCTCCGGGTTGTCGTGCAGGTGCTCTTCTTCGAGAACGCACGCGCGGCGGCGGCGCTGTCCGGCTGCCCCGGGGCCAACGGCCGCGTCTCCGGCGTGGCGGGTGGCGTCAGGGCGTTGCTCGCCAAGACAAGGAGGGAGGCAGACGGCGAGGAGGCCAAGAACGAGCAAAGGCTCCGGGGCCTCGCCGCCGCGCCTGGCCCTGACGACAACGACTGGAGCGTGGAGGGGCTGAAACGCGCGGCGTCGAGGATCTCGACCCTGAGGATGAAGCTGGAGGAGGACGAGGACGCGGACGACGAGGCGTTCGTCGTGCACAGGGCGCGCGCGGGGCTGGCCCAGAGGGCGTCCGCCCGCAGCAGGGCGCTCTGCGCGATCCCGGCCGGGAAGCCCAAGCGGATGCTGAGCAGGCTGTGGCCGTCGAGCTCGAGCAGAGCCGTCACTGAGAGGCATTGAGACCTGCACGGGAGTCGAGAGCAACGCGGTGGCAGATTGATCGATCAAGGCACACTATTCTGGTCGCGAAGGCTGTGCATTTTTGTACAAAAAAAAGTGAAAGAGAACGCTGCAAATACTCAATTTGATATGCCACTCAAATCTATGGTTGCTTGAGAGTCCTATATATATGATCTTTTAAAAAGAGACTCCTACGTATATATTTTTTTTCAATGAGAAAAGAGGGATAAAAACGTTGAATATCATACTGGTGCAACATTTGCCATGTTTACATTTGATTCCAAAATACACTAAAATGAGTTTGGATATAGAGTAATTAAATCAACCACAAAATTGTAAAATATTTCTATAATTTGTGCTCGGCATCAGCAAAGCTGTCAAACATCCATGGACGGTAAAGACTGGAAACTTGTAGCACTTTTCCGGTTCTCCCCATGGAAAATGTGAGCCGTAAGGAGCGCTTTGCTGTGCCAACAAGCCAAGGGAACAACCATTGGCAAATGATGGTTCGTTTCTTTGGCGGACAATATCAAATGATTCTTTCACTTTGCACCTACCTTAATCCCTCTCCTGGAGGCGCCGGTATCATTGTTCATGAGCTCTAATCCCACTACATGCCGGCATATGATTGCAGGTATCAACTTTACAGAAAGGAGAATGTAACAGAAGAAGAATCATAGGCGCACAAAATCATGTGTACATGCGCAACAGATGAAGCATACGCCACGCCAGAAGCTTCTCGCAAGTTGCAAGTGCATATGCGCTTAATTACACTACATATGGCATGGGGTGCCATGATCTCCGTCCGGGAAAAGGGAGGAAGAAGAGCTGATCAGCATGGGCAGACTTTTCTCTCAGGTCGCCTACAGATTTGGCTTCTTGCCCCGTTGCTCATCGCTATCATAGCATCTAGCAGCATAGCGTCAATCAAGCCTTCGATATGATTCTGCAAATCGTTTTATCTCTCCAAGGATTGGTCATGTCTTAGCACAGGACATTAGTGGACTGCTGGTCACTGGATGGGAGAGTGATCTGGACAGGCCCTCTTCTTAGGAGGCTTGGGACAAAGCTACGAAGAGACTCCTGCTTGGTATATGATCTGAAGGTGTTAGATTGATCTCTAATCCTAAACTGGGCCCAACGGCCCAGTTGGGCCTTTGATCCGCGCCCTGATCGGGGGCGCCCAGCCCACTATGGCTGGAGAGTCCCTGTCACACTGCGCAATAAATAGAGGTGGGAGCCGGCGGCTAAGTCACAAGGTTCGCCTGAACCGAGCTCCCCACCGACAAACCCTAAACCCGATCTAAAGGGCGCGCAGCCAATGATGGGAAGCCACCAGCCACGCCGCCACCGGACTGCGTCACCGCGACCACGGCACTGCGCCGCCGCCCGTCTTCCCCGACTGTCGCTGCCCTAGCTCAGACATCGACTCCATGGCGGACGCGAGCCGATCCTTCTCTACTACGGTGTCAGGTTTGACACGTCCATCTTCTACCTCTCCCTTTCTCACGTTCTACCTACTGTTATTGTACTAGTAGACGTTCTAGGATTCATGATACTATTCAACAGCAAGTACCCGACTAGATCTATGCTCCTAGTGATCCTATACGTTTCACAGAAGGTACTATATGCAATATGCTGTTGGGTGGTGCCGTGGTGGCACCAGGACCAGAGTGGTTTCAGTTTCAGCCTTTCAGCCATCCACTGAAAGGCTTCCAATCGAACGAACTTTCACTGATTACTGATATGATATATATAACCTCAACATCACAAATGAACGTGTCCGGATTAGCCACGAATGCCTTCTCCCCCTCCAAAATTGCGTGCAAGTGCCGTTTGATATCTTCTCTCTCGAGGATTTTGTGTTTTTGCATAACTAATTTACTACTGTTTGGTTGGCTGGATCGTATCGTTGCTGATTCGTTTATGTGAGAGAAAAGTACTGGTGGCTGGTTCACGTGAATAGTAGCCATGTGAGGGAGCTGGTCAGCCAGCCCCAGCCCAGCGATCAGGCACTGATCTAATGTCCAAACTGAAGTTTATACGTGCTACTATGGCAAAATATGCCAAGATTCTGAAGAGTCCCTCGGTATCAGCGAGGCCCCTGCACGGGCCACAGGGCGCGTACGAGCTCGGCGTGGCAGGCAAGGACGGCGGCCAGGAGAGCCCCAGCCCCCAGCAGCGCGGCCCCGACGGCGACCGGCGCGCTCTGGACCACCCAGCACGCCATGCTCGTGGGGACCGCCATGGCGACAGACCACTGCAGCACCTGCCCGGCCGCCCACCTCGCGCGGCGCCCGCGGTCCTCCAGGAGCGCGCACAGCGCCAGCAGCGACGTGAACAGGCAGAAGCTGGCCAGCTGCGACGCGAAGACGGCGAGGAGCACGTACACCTCGCGCGCCGCCAGAAACGCCAGCGTGCGCGTCGCCGTCGGCGAGGCGCGGGGAAACGCCTCGCAATCGAAGGCGCAGGCGTCTCCCGACAGCGCCTTCGTCTCGGCGGCCGCCGTGGGAGGCAGCAGCAGCGGCTGCTGCTTCTCCACGTCGGCGACCGGCTCCCCCGTCTTTGCTTCCGCTGGTTCCATTGCGCACGTTGCGCGTGGAGGTGGAGCTGCACTGACAAAGCCGTGCAAGAGCAATAGATTTATATATTGGAATATGTAGCGTGTTCGTGCGTTGCTACGGAAATAACTAAACTTTTGTATTAAAAATACACGGACCACACAATAAAATAACAATACTGTGAAATTAACTACGACGTTAAAGTGACATTTAATCCGAAAGACAAAGTTCGTAAAAATAAAACAAGATAAAATTTGTAAAAAATAAACAACCGATCAAATTCATTAAAATTCACGTCTCATATATTATATAACCAAATATTTTTATCACATAATAAATATCGCATAACGACTATGAGGCATGTTCAAGACTACGAGGCCTGTTCAAGCAGCTACGAGGCCAAGAACGGATTCACAAAATGAGGCATTTTCAAGCAAGTTTTATGGCATCATGATCACTAAATCAATAAGTTACAAAACATCCATGTTTACAATTCAGAATGTGGAGAGGCCATCGTCACAAGCTCAAGGAACTCCTCTTCATAATTGCATTGAAGCACTTGCTCAAGGAAGAGGCCATCAAGGACTCCTTTTGGAAGTTTCCTGAAGCATGCTTGTCTAATTTAAATATATAGAAGTTTCAGTTCTCTGAATCATGCCTGTCCAATTTAAACATAGTTTCATGGTTATTTCAAGCTGACAGATGTCCTACCTTAATCAGGCTGGCCAAGCAGTGAACACCAATGTCCTGAGGTACAACTCCTTTATTCAGCTGGTCCCTCGCGTGTTCCTCTGGTCATTCTCTGGATTAATGCGAAAGATCCCCTCAGCCTGAAATTGGAATGTAGGAAACTTCAGGGCCTACATGGTTTCACTACTTATACATTTCTTAGGGGAAGTAAATTTACCAGACACTTGCTGGTTGATAGAACAATTCTGAAACAAATGCAAACACGGACAAAAATAAAACCTAAAGCTTAATTAAAAATCATGAAATTGACTCCTTGAATATTCTAAATTCTTTAGTAGTTTTCTAAAAATATCAGACCTCATTTACAGTCAAAGGATTTATAGAAAAATAACTTAAGCAAACACTAAATCTTCTGAATCCATTATGTACTTTTGATTCAGGAGAACAAATAAGTTTCGAATTTAATTGGGTCTATCCTTTTCTGGCCTCGCCATTGCTTCATATACCAGTGCCACATGCTAAACCTTGACCAAAACTTTTTTGAATGAAACTCACAAATACAATAAAGAAGAGGTAGGAATTAAAAATACAAAGAAATACAAATCAAACTTTTTTAGTCGAAACTCACAAATACAAAATAGAATTGGTGAACCTTTTTTAGCATACATAAAACAACTTTCTCTGCTGAACCAACCTGACCGATGCTAGCTGTAGCTAGCAGTTCATAGTCGAAACTCCTCAACTTGGAGGACCAGTCAGGAGTTAGGACCAAGCTCGGCATCAAGGACTGAATTTAGCTACTTCCTTAGCATAACATCAGCACCTCGATGAACAATATCAAGAGCTGCCAACACCTACATTAAATTGGCCAAAGATCAGTTTGAATACACTTGGACATCACAAGGCTATGACAAATGAAGCATCAAATAAAAGGATGGACCAAAACTGTGGCAAATAATTTTACAAAAGAAAATAATTAACAATCTTCATTGTCACAATCTGAACAAAGGATTTGAACCTCTGTGATAACCACGTGCTTGCGGCACTTGCTTATGATGATTGTTTGTCCAGTTAAAGTGCAAATAAATTCCATTCATAAAACCAATGTCAACTATTTTAATTTTTTCATCTAATTTAACTAAATAAAAGAACCAAAATGGGTACTAATGTGCCCGGCATATTCCATCCCAAACAAGCATAAAGGAACACAAAACTGTTTGCAACCATCCAAAACTCCAAGTTTATATGCAGCTGACAGCGAAGCAGATGAGTTACCCAGGACATGCAAGATTTGCTTGCAGACATCAAGGAAGGGCTTGGTTAGAATGACTTTGTTCTCTGCCTTGACATGCTCCATCCCTTCTAAAGAGGGGATGAACACCGTCTCTGCCATCTATGAACCTGAAAGAATCAACAAATATATCAACCAATCATCGCAACCAGGGGCAGACCCAGTAAAGAACATGGTGTACACATGTACACCCAATATTTTTTGCAAAAAAAATCATATTCAGTAGGCAAATACATATATAAACTTTAATTAGATCAGATCCGAATAGGGTTCGAGTGCTCGCTGCTCGGTTTCAGACAGAAGGAAGGGAAGAGAAGGGGTGCGAATACCTGGTGGGCGTTGGCAAGCAGTATATCATAAATCCTTATATTATGAATATGTAGCACAGCCATGAGATATCCTTGAAAGGAAAGCTCAAAAACACTTTTACATGATAATAACTGTAAGCCAATGCAGAAAATTTGAGCCACATCCAAGTCCTTTGCAGCCTTGAGCTCTTGACCCTTGTGTTCTAATGGCGTAAACCCAAGTCGTCAACCAAGTAAAATCAATTTAGTTCAAATTCTATATTATTTTAGTCTGGGTAATACTTATTGTTTGACAAATATCTAAGTGACCAATGTCACAACATCATTGGTTTAGTAATCAGTTGTTGAGTCCTTGCTGGTGTGCTGAGTATATTCTAAGGTTTGTTACCGACTTGTATTGGTCCATCACAAAGCCATTAATAGGACTCGCTTACTGGATTGGCTAACTTCATAATAATCAAAGCAAATCACAATTACCAAAAAAAACACAAAGGAAAGCACGTAATGCGGTTCAGCACTGGTTTGCTACCACTACTTTTCTAAAATTGACTCTTTGCTCCATCAGAACATGAAACACACCTGATATAAAGTAAAAGGTTTATCAATTTTTTGTTCCATATAACATTATTATTCCATAACTTGCCATAGACACAAAACATTAGGCTTGCTACCTTAAATGTCTGTCCACAGCCACTACCCTGAAATAACTATCAACAATTACTGGCATCAGTATGCGAGAGAAAGAAGGTTAAGCCATCTTTAGATAATATCTGAAATTTCATTACCAAAAATTCACAAGTGCTAAAAAAGATAGGCATATCGTACTACTTGCATAGAGTACTGTATAACCTTTTTTTATGGCTAATGACATGAATTAAGAACAAAATGAATAATGACATGAACTCAATAGATAGCAGTCATATGGAAATTTTCTGGGCCTGTGGCGCCTTTGATAATGCCATGATAATGCCCGTGAGATTAGGGGATACCAAGAACAAATTAGTGATTGTTCGTGGAACAAATACCAGGGCGTAGATCAGTGGTGCGTGGGAACTGATTATTGGCACACATGCTGCTGCATTCCTGATTAAAACAAGCAATAGCACATATCACCTTTGCCTAATACAGAATTGCAGTTCGATCAATTCTTTCCTGTGATGTGCTGCTGCTATGGTGATTGGCGACTGAGACACCATCTATCAGGGCGCTGAGTCCCTAGTTGACCAGGGCGACGAGCATGGGCGTTGTTCCGTGGTGATGTGATAATACAACAAATTCCTAAAAAATAACAACATATTCCATTCAATTATAGGCTCACAGATGATAGATCCACAATCCCTAAGCCTTTACAGTTCAATCTTCCTTCTTCTCTAATGATGTCCAAACCCTAACACTGAGAATGAGATTTGGGAATTGGGGGAAAGTAGTGGAATGGAGAAGAACAAGCACTCACGAGAGGCCAGTAGTCCACAGGCACCATGACCCTGCTGGACGGCCGTCGGCCGGTGCAGTGGCGCCGATGGACGCCGGGGGCGGCCAGCACCTCCTCGCTCCTCGCTTCCGTGGGGGCGGTGGCGAACGGGAGGGTGAGTCAGAGGGCGCCGCCCCGTGCGGCGCGAGCGGCGGCCGGTGGCCGGAGGGAGGCACGGAGGGAGTTCCGATGGGGAGGGCAGCGGGGCCGGGCGTCGGCGTCGTGAGTGAAGAGGGCGTGCGCGGTGCGAGGATGAGATCCTTGCTCCTCGTGTCTCCCATGGCGGCAGCAGGCGTCGGTGGTTCCTGCGAAGGGCGCGGTGCGGATCGCGACTTCGCGAGGCCGGCGGTAGTCGCGACTTCGCGAGGGCGTGGGCACGGATAGCAGGCATGCGATTGATTGACTGATTGATTCCTGCGTTGTTTGACTGATTTGTTTCCACTTTTACCGGAGGAATTGTCGCATGGGGGAGGGAGGGATGCGCGAGCGTCGTCGTCGCATGGGGCAGACCGACGCCGTGCGAGGTTTCCTTCCTTTCCCGTATCGTCACGCGACGCGGAACGCACGGACAGGAGGGAAGAGCGACCCCAAAAAAAGTCGCACCTAACAATTGTCTTGCTTTTGTTCTTTTTAGTTGTATATGTAGGAGATACACCGTCGCCGTCGCCGTCGCCGGCTATACCCTGGCGCAGAAATGCAACAAATGCATAAGCAGATAAGCGCCTCCACGGCGGAAACAAGGAAGACAAGTCACAATGAGCAGAGGCTCCATAAGAGAGCGATCTTTACAAGGCCAGGAATGAACACACATCTGAGTATCTTAAGCAGTGACTGGAGATTAATCAAAGAGGTAATGGCATTTGAATTGGTACATAAATCAGAACAAAACAAAAGGAACAGCGTGCACGATGTGATCCCAGCCTAAAAATTTGACCAAACAGCCAATAATAGTAGATGTGGACACCCAGGGCGCCTTTCTGGCCACCAATCCTTCCCCCATTTCTCTCCAAGGATAGGCCATGTCTAAGCACACTTCCATGATTTCCAGTTAGCGCATAGATTTGGTGGACCATTTCTTTGCATGTCCGATGTCCCCATAGCTGCATAGATTTGCAATAATGCAGATGATTCTTTGAATACAAGGAAACAAAAAGGCATCTTATCAATTTGTGCGCGGTACATGGTTCGGTCAACCGTAAGTTACCTCTGTTCATATGCAGCCATTCATTTTTTAGTTATGGCTTTAGATGAGAAGCACTTGACGGCAAGTTCAAATAAACACACGACTACCTCAACTGTGCAGTTCGATAAAGAAATCATGAGCCAAAACTAAGGCTTCAGCCTGTAGCTTTGCGCTTCAGAGGGAGGACAGAGGATACTGAGTACTGACTGGTGAGTATCATTAACCAATGCCCATGGCATGAATCGCTTATGTACATAGACTATGCCAGTAATTCGTCCAAACAGGAAATAATGCAGAAGTCAGAACTAAACCCCAGATAGCAGTCAACCAGACACCAGCAAACCCACAGAAACCAGAGGTATCACCGTATCAGAACCGTAGAAACCTTTCATTCTGGTTCTTCAGTTTATACTTTATATAAACAGAAAGGGGCTAGGACCACACAAAGTGCAGACAATATGATGCTGTCAATGACTGTCAAATGGAGGGGTATGATACTGTGATTACAATTACTCTGCTCGCCGCTTTTTTGGACAAGACAGATTGTTAAGATTCACCTTGCTCAACTCATTAGCAGCAAGTCACAATTGTCACTTTTAATATAATCAGATTAATACTCCCTCCATTGCAAATTGTAAGTCGTTTTGGCTTTTCTAGATTCATAAGCTTTACTATGCACCTAGAAAAGCCAAAACAACTTACAATCATAGTTTTTACGGCGGCGTGGCGAGGCGCGGCGACCCACCACCTTCACACCTTTACAGCGTCTATGGTGCGCGGCGTGGCGACGCCATACACACATCGGCGTGGCGAATACATACATTATAGTCTAGGATATTAGGAAATTATATTGACAAATGGTAATGCAAATGTAGCTTAAAAGGTATAGTCTACAATATTAGCAAATCAAGACCTTCACTACTTCACTACTTCAGCATAACAGGTCTGTTCTCTGTTCTTGAGCAAAGTGCATAACAGAGTAGAGACTACAGAGCTTCACTACTTCACTACTTCACCAAATCACCACTTCACTACTCGCTTGTGCAGCAAACTAGAGACTAGAGAGCTTCAACAGTTAGCACGCTACTTCACCAGACCAGAACAGTGGAACACTAGCCAATGCTTAACGAGACCACTTCACCGATGAGGCGATGACCGATCAGCAGCTCAGCACTTCAACTCACCAGAACAGAGTAGAGACGAGAGAGAGAGTACCTGGCGGGCGCTGAAGCTTGAGGGCCGGCGCCTTGGGAGATCCAGGCGGCGTGCCGGCGGCTCGGGAGATCCAGGCGGCAGGCCGGCGGCTTGGGAGATCCAGGCGGGGGCAGCCGGCTCGGGCTCGGGCGAGGCCGACGGAGGGCAGGGGAGGCCAACGGAGGGCGGGGGAGGCCGACGGAGGGCAAAGCGGACGGATTTCCAGGCGGGGGCGGGCGGAGGGCGACCGTCCCGGCGGCCGACGGCGGCGGCGACTCGGAGGGCTGCTTGCGGTTGCGTCTCGGGCTCGGTCTCGGAGGGCTCCAATCGGCCACTCGGCCTATACAGGTACCCTCACGGCCTCACCCTCACCCTCACCGTCTATTGCGCCCGCCACAACGCACAAAGGAGCCACAGGACGCCAAATCGGCACCACGGGGATGCCACGGCGCTATGGCGGACGCCATACACGCCGGAGCCGTGGCGAGAGCCAGAAAAACGCCACGGCGATATGGCGACGATATGGCGTCGGTATAGCGACGCCTTAACAACTATGCTTACAATTTGGAATAGAGGGAGTAGAATATATGAACGTAGGGAACAGACAAACAAAAAATAAACAAGATGAGTTGTAATCTAACCAGATTGAAAGGAGACTTCACTTGCTATTGTTCAAAGTCTTCAGAACATCAAGTATGCCTTTTTCATTCATCCTTAATGTTTACAGGTACTCGTCACAGATTGACTGAAAGCACTGTTGACAAAGGCCTACAACTTTGTTAAGGGTCACTGGTGCACAAAATGCTAGTGTCATCTGGCCCTCATTGCCAATGCTGCTAATCATGAAACGTACAACTTGTACTCACTACTTCTGTCAGGAAATGCTATGGCGTTGTAAAATGCTATTGTAATCCAGCATATGTTGGACAAACAAGTCCTTGGTCCACTGCGAACAATGAGCTTATGCTCTGCTTCCTAGCAAGCTCAAGCTTTTGCAGCATCTGCCGCTGCCATTCGCTCATCTTCAGTGGTAAGTCCCTCAATCAGGGAGATATATGTGCTGTCATCTGGGGTGATGCCCTTCCCCACCATCTCTTTCATCAGGTTCTCAGCGTCATCTCCCTGTCCATTCTTGCACAACCCCTGTATAAGCGCATTATATGTCAAAAGTGTTGGATTGAACCCCTTATCCAACATCTCATCCCGGACTCTCAAAGCGTCCTTTATGTCACCCTTCATGCTATAGCCGCTGATCAGCGTGTTATAGGTGACAAGGTCTGGCTGGATACCCCTCTTTGTCATCTCATCAATGAGCCTGCGAGCTTCATCAAGCCGCCCAAGCAAGCAAAACCCCCTCATCAGTGTATTGTATGTCACATCATCCGGGGGGATCCTCTTCTTCTCCATCTCTGCCATGATCTCATATGCTCTTTCCATATCTCCACCTGTGCAGTGGCTATTGATCAGAGCATTGTACATGACAACATCAGGCCTGATGCCCTTCTTCACAGCCACTTTAAATAACCTATCCGTCTCCTGAACTTGCCCTTTCCTGGAGAAAGCATATATCAACGACGTGTAGGTCACTGCAGTTGCACGCACCCCTTTCTGAGACATCACCTCAAACACCTCCAATGCTTTCTTCTCATTGCCCTCTTTGCAATACCCATTGATTAGTATGTTATAAGTGAACACGTCTGGGTAAAGACCATTCCTCTGCATCTCCTCAAGCACAGCATAAGCATCTGATGCACGTCCAACCATGAACAACGCATGCACAAGTAAATTGTATGTAGCAACCGTCATGGCAACCCCCCGCTGTACCATATCCTCCCGGTATTGCAGAGCCACATCCAGTTTGCCCCTGTCACAGTAGCCACCGATCAATGCGTTGTACATCACTGCAGATGGCGCCACCTCTCCCTTAGTCAGCATTTCGTCGAACACCTTGGCGGCGTCCTCCGTTCGACCGATCTTGCACCACCCAGAGATCAGCGTGGCATAGGTGTACTTGTCGGGAGCAATCCCTCCGCGCTCCCGCATCTCGCGCATGACCTCCAGCGCCGCCTGGACACGGCCGCGCGCGCAGAACCCGGCTATGACTGTGTTGTAGGTGACGGCGTTGGGGCGGGGCATCTGGCGGAGCAGCTCGAGCGCGCGCACGGGCTTCCCCGTGGCGCAGAGGTGGCGGAGCATGATGTTGAAGGTGGTGGTGCAGAGCGGCAGGCGGAGGCGGTAGATGTCGGCGAAGAGGGCGAAGGCCGGGGCGGAGGGGAGGGAGGAGAGCAGCGGGTGGAGCGAGGCGACGGGGATGGGGACGGAGAGCGACTTGAGCCGTGCGTAGAGGCGGAGGGAGGTGGCGTGGGGGCGCGACGCGGCGGAGGCGGTGAGGAGGAGGTGCGGCAGCGACGGGGACGCGGCGAGGTGCGGGAGAACGGAAAGCGGGCACAGGGCACGGTCCGCGGAAAGCGCCGACTTGAAGAGCGCGAGCGCAGCGGCCGGCGTCGGAGACGCGCGGGCAGCAGCCGCCACGGCGGCGGGGGAGGTGGGCGGCGCCATGGAGGCGGAGTGGAGAGCCTCTAGCGACTAACGGAGTAACGGGCGCGCCGTAGGGGTCGGACCGTCAGAGTCGGACGTCACGCACGTTGGGCTCGGGCGCCCGTGATTTTTTTTAAGCCTGGACTAGCGTACAAGTTGGAGTACACACACACACACCACATATGCACATCTCTATAAACTACAACCTATACACGACAAATGTCTTTCTAGGGATCACCGAAGCCACACGAGCTTCGTAGACGATGGGCACGTCGTAGTCCATTGTAGCGCCACGCGAGTATCCAGGACCTGCACGAAACAAATATGAAGAGAAAAAACCCCGGTGCCATACCCGGCCGATCCACAACTGGGATTCGAACGTGGGTGGGTGGTCTCCACGACGGGAGCGCTCACCAGTGCACTACAAGCGCATCGGCGGGCGCCCGTGTTCGATTGCCGTCAGTTTGGGCTCTAACGGTGTTAAACTGTAGGTGTGAAAAGTCAAAAATACCCTTAAGTCTAAATATATCATTAATTTTGTTGGGCATCTTAACGACTTCAAATAAAAAAACTCAAAACTAGAAAATTGTAGATCTCATTGAGATCTATAATTTTTATATAAAAATTATCTTCATTTAATTTAGCAAAAAAAATATGATTTGATATGATTAATATATCTTAGAAAAATCATATCTTTTTTTGAAATTAAATGAAGATAATTTTTATATAAAAATTATAGATCTCGACGAGATATACCACTTTCTAGTTTTGAGTTTTTTTCATTTGAAGTCGTTAAGATGCCCAACAAAATTAATGATATATTTAGACTTAAGGGTATTTTTGACTTTTCACACCTGCAGTTTGACACCGTTAGAGCCCAAACTGACGGCAGTGGCATGGAGGGCACAAAAAAGTTGGAGCAGTGGCATTGAAGGCCGCTGAACTTTTCCGAGGACTCACAGGGCATTGCAATCTTTTTTAATGGCACATAAAGAATTTCTCGTCTTTTTTTAGACGAAAAAGATACGGGCCTTTTTTTCCTTGTTTTAGAAAAAAAACTAGGAGTCTGTCGTAGCAAAATACACGGAACAGTCCAGATTAAAAAAAACAGTAATGCTGGGTTCGGGGCGTACTATCCGTCGGACGGCGCCGTTGGTGGTCCGCGACGCTGGCCAAACTATCCAACAGACTCACACCACGTTTCTAAAAAAAAGTTATGGAATACTCCGTTTTCACTTTTCTGTTGTGCCCTACCGCAACATCGTGGCGTGCTGCATCGTGGTCGCGCCCGCACTGCCCCGACGTACTCCACCACAGCTCTCTCCACCGCGCCCGCCTGGCCGTCATCCTTCCTCTCCACTGTGCCCGAGCGCGGCCGCTCTCCACCGCGCCTCCGCCCCGTCGCGGCCTTCTAGAACGCAGCCACCTCTGCTGGTCGGGCCGCTCTCTCCCGCGCACGTCGAGCTGGTGGTCCTAGCACCGCCACTTGCCACCGGCTCGCACCCCGAGGACGCAATCGACCGGCTCCGGCCCCCTCTCCCTATGTTGCAAATATATGTTTTCAAGTGTTTCAGATGTTTCGATGTTTCAGAGATACGTTGCAAGAGTTTTATATGGATGTTGTAAAAGTAGATCGGGATGTTGCATATGTTGCAAGTGTTTCAGAGGCATGTTGCAAGTGTTTTGAATGCATGTTGCAAGCGTTTGTTCGAAATGTTTCATCTGTTTCAGACGTATGTTACAAGCGTTTTGATCTAGATGCTGCATATGTTTCACACATATATGTCACAATAGTATGTTCAAAATGTTTCAGTCGTTTCAGTCTTATATTGCAATAAGTGTTTTCATGTTGCAAGTTGCAAGTGTTTTATCTAGATGTTCCATAGGTTTCACATACATGTGTTTAAGTGTATGTTCCAGATGTTTTATCTACTTTAGACGTATGTTGCATCTAAATGTTTCATATTTCAAAGGTACAGAGTCATGGAGCACAGCCCGGGCGCCGGGGATGGGGTGTGATGAGCTGGGGCCAGCGGATGAGGCGTGCTAGGGGCCGGCGGTCGAAGTGCGCGGCGCACCTGGGGTCGTGCGGACGGGGCGCGCTTGTCCAGTCGTCCTCATCTCGGCTCGTGGGTCCTGCCCGTGCGGACAGAGGAGGGGTTCAGGGGGAAGGAGCGCGCGGGGGCGGTGATGGGCATGGGGAGGAGGCGTGACGTCCGAACTCGCAGAGAGAGGAGGGGGTAAGGAGGAAGGAGCAGTGAGCGCAGTGTTTCCGTGGGCGTGCGTGACGGAGGAGGCACGGGCGTTCGAACGCGCGCTTTTGTCCGGACGCTAGTATCTCCAAAACACACACACACACACAGAACAGTCATAATCTCATAACTAAATGATGGACTGTACTGTAGACTGGCCAACTCACCTGGTCTGACCCTGATTTTTTATAGACTCAAATTGTGCTTATGATTTTCTTGATGAGTGCCACACTAGTCATAATCCACTGCAGAAAGGTACAACATCTATTCTTATTATTAATTTTTTTTCGAAGAACATCTATTCTTATTAGGATTTATGAAAGAATATTTATATCTCACAGATGATAAATCAAGCATAGACTTGTTACAGCAAAACGGTAAGTATACAGGCAAAGAGCGTACCGGAAGGATGATCAATAGAACATCACCTCGGCGACCACCGTGCTGCTTGATAGTGAATAGACCCTACTGGTTGTGTTTTTCATCTTCCTAGTATAAATGGTATGTAGCTGTATTGTGTGATTGAGAAAAATAAGGCATCAAACCACTAAGACAAAATATTGATCATTAGTTGATTCAATCCCCTCACGACCATCTTTGATTTTGGATTTTCCCAAATTTCTCCCTTTTCTAGGTTTTCCTAATTTTCTAGAATCCGTGTGAAAGGCTCAATATTTTTTAATAATCCATGAACGGTGGAAAGGTACAACATCCATTCTTGTTATGATTCATGAAATAATGTTTATTTTTCATAAATGATAAATTCATTTATTGACTTTTTGATGAAAAAGGGTATATATATGTGTGACAGTTCGTACTACAATTATGACCAAAAGAACATGACCTTGCTCCCTGCCCTGCAACTTGGTAGTGAATAGTGTGTGTGTGAGTGTGTGTTTTGAATTTTGTGTGTGTGAGAGAGAGAGAGTGTGTGTGTTTGTTTGTGTGTGTGTGTTTGTGTTTGTTTGTACTCATTTTTGTCATCATCCTAGTATAAATACATGCACCTCTCCTGCGTGTTTGAGAAAAATGATTCTTTCAAACTACTGAGAAAAATATATAGAGCAGACAGGGCTCATAAACAAATAGTGGAATAATGAAGCTATTGCCTTGTACTTTGGTCCAATAAAAATGTAGAAATCATGTCATTATAATGGTGTAATTTGGACCAATTTACTTATCTCAACATCTCATTCGACCAAGGGGACACCCATGGACCCCATTGGCATGCAATTTTGGAGCTGCTGACTTTTCCCAATCATTGCCACATTGTGTCCATTATGATCGAGCAAACAAAGGTCAGTGTCACTACTAGTGCCCACCTAAAAGGAAGAATCAAACTCTGCAATCCATTGCCCGCCTAAGAGTTGAGATAGGGAGTTGTTGGAGAGAAGTTTTTTTCAATCTTGCTAAAAAAATCTAGATTGTGAGTGGGTTTGGAAAACTCTTGAAGATGCTCTTACTACTGTGTATGTTGAACCAACCTAGATCTAGGAAACGCCTCTTCACACCCATTAAGCCTATCAAAAAATGTGAATCCCCAACTCTTTTAGAGGCTTCTCCTAATGTTTTATTTCCTAAGTATTTATTTTGTATAAGAGCTCTTGCCACATACCATCTTCATTACAAAGTTTGAACAACCATTTGCTTAACAAACATGTTGTTCTGTAAGTCTAAGTTTAGAATTCCTATTCCTCCTTGCTCCTTTGGCTAACAAAGAATATTCCATTTAACTAATCTATACTTCTTTTTATGTTGTTCATTTTGCCAGAAAAGTCTTGGTCTAAAATAATCTATATTTTTAGTACTCCTCTTGGGACCTCATAAAAAGATAGCATGAAGAGAGGTAGGCTAGATAGAACTGAGTTGCTCTCCTGGAGACAATTTTTTTTCTTTCCGACTGCTGAACCTTTTTTTATTCTATTTTCAATCTCTTCCCAGTCCTTATTATTTAACTCTCTGATGTGCATAGGGTTCCTAAATAGCAAAAAGGAAATGAGACAACTTGCAGCCAAACAATTATGAGTATTATGCCTCACATTCTTTGGCTTGATCGAAGCAAAAAAATTTATTTTTATCCCGATAATTGTTCAAAGGTGCAAAGAAGTAATTTTGTATTCCTTGACTGATCAAAATCATGGTGTATAAAAATAACAGTATCATCATCGTACTGTAAGATAGATAGACCATTTTCTATCAGATGAGGCATTGCCCCTTTCACCTGAGCATCCTCTTTGGCCCTAGCAACAATGATAGCCAATATATCTACCACAATGTTGAATAAAATTGGTGATAGTGGGTCACTCTGTTGTAGGCCTTTCTTGGTTTGAAAATAAGAACTTAGTTGATCATTAACTTTTATTCCTACGTTACCGCCTTGGACAAATGCTTTCATCCTTAAGGTTTGTTGTAAGAAGTCTCACCTAACTTTATCATAGTCCTTTTCGAAATCAATCTTGAAGATAATCCCATTTTGGTTTTTGGTGTAACTCCAACACAACATTATTTCGTGTAGAATCAATGCACCTTCCATGATAATTTTACCTGGTAAAAAGGTTATTTGTGATGGTTTAATAATAATTCAATTGGCTATATTAGTGATCTTGTTAGTGGCGACCTCGAGCTGCACAGGATAGTCACTACTACTCTTGTTGATTAGGGTGGATGTAACGCCCCGGCCCGGGAAGATGACTAAGGCCCACTCCTACATGTTGAATGGGCTACACATGTGAATAATTATCTTGCATTTTCGTCCTTGCTTCACGCAAAAAGGGTAATCACCGGAGTTATTCACCTCCTAGGCCTAGGCTTTTAACTTGGTTCAGCTCTTCTTCAACTTCTAGTGTGGTACTAAAGTTCGGTCGCCACAGTGTTTGCCGTGGTGCTACAGTGAACCATGGTACATTTTAGACAAGGCTGTGGGATGGCGCATTTCGAACAAGAACGTGCTGCGGTGAACTCAGCCACAATGGCCATGTAATCGCTTTAGCGTTCTATATATAGTTGTGATCAGTCAAAGAGAAAACGCTGCCCTTTGCAGCACCACATTTGCCGGTGTCCACTGTGTTCACGTGTGTCCGCCTACCTCGCCATCGTTTATCTCACCGGCGGTCTTCTAACGTAACGTGAATGTTGGCAGTGAGGTGCACGAGACAAGGAGCAACACATTCTGCAAAGTGTTGTTGCTCCGCCTCGGCTCTCTGGTGCACAGAAATACTTCCCCTATTCTAAATTATAAGACGTTTTAGTTTTTCTACATATAATGTGTTTGCCATGTATCACCACATAGTGTTTATCTAAGTTCATAGCAAAAACTATGTATCTAGAAAACCAAAATATCTTATAATTTAAAATGGAGAGAGCAGTACTGATGCTACTAGAAAATCTTTCCCCCCACTTTTGCTCTCTTTTATAAGGCTGACTTCACAACATCACTACACATTACAATACACAACAACAGTAGCTTACGACGGGATTTTGGAAGTGGTCTGCTAACCTCTCTCGATTCTACTACACCTGTACAAAACTTCTCATGAGATGCTGAAATGCAGTCTTGCGCACCAAGCATCTCACAAGGCGATGATTAACACGCTGCAGTCATATACAGAACTGGCTCCTTTCTGCAGCGCCACTGCTGCCAGCTCCTAGCCTTGTTCTCGTCAGAGGAAGCCATCCAGCCAGGCCCCAAGGCTATCATCCTGTGGTCCGAAGATGTCCTGCGGATGACAACAGGAACTCATGAGCGTTTTACCTCAACAACACGAGCTCGTGGCCATGACATTTTACAGTAAGCGAACAAGCTAGAGGCACAAGATAGGCTTACATCTAAACTGATGCCACCACCTGAAGGTGTTCCAGTGAATGGAAGAGTATTATCCAGGTCAGGCAACTCATCAAACAGGTCCATGTTAGGACCATTGACGGGAAGAGATGCGTCAAGTCCTGCGTCCAGGGCATCCGTAGGCTGCATGGGTTCGTCCGAGGTAGGAATAGCTGGTGATAATTCAGCAACGCATGCAGAGCATTCCGCTGCTTCAACCTTCACCTTGGATGTGCTACATTCTTCTTCCCCCTGTCACAAATTCAGAAAAGCAAAATGAAAGAATGTTCCCCAGCTAAACAAAATATTTACAGTAATATGAAGAGAGCTATTTTGATCGTCAATCTATATGAACAGAGTCATCTTGAAACATACATAAAGTCAAAACAGAGGACAGCTTTAGCAAAATATGCCCTAAGTTGAGAAATCAAACTATAAAATATGATCACTGCATTTACCTGATCCACCTGAATGTGGGTATACTGCTCGGTGTTACATGGGCTGTTGTTCAGGAGATGGGGCTGGGGAGGACCTGTCGGTGGGGTCCTCTGGAGTTCATGCGAGGTAGGCATAGCTGGTGATAATTCAGCAAAGCATGCAGAGCATTCAGCTGCTTCAACCTTCATCTTGGATGTGCCACACTCTTCTTCCCCCTGTCACAAATTCAGAAAAGCAAAATGAAAGATTGTTCCCTAGTTAAGCAAAATATTTGCAGTAATATAAACCGAGCTATTTTGATCGTCAATCTATATGAACAGAGCCGTTTTGGAATACAGGACAGCTTTTGCATTCCTGTACTCTGCCAAAATATGCCCTATACTGATGAATGGAGGGAGGGAATACTTCGCAGCAAATTGAGAGATCAAACTATAAAATATGATCACTGGATTTACCTGATCCTCCTGAATGGGGGTATACTGCTCGGTGTTGCATGGGCTGTTGTTCAGCCGACGGGGCTGGGGAGGATTTGTCATTGGGGTCCTAGGATTGATTTTTGCAACAGATGCATCAGATCCAACTGCAACATCTGTTTTAGACTTGTCATTTTTCTTCAATGGCGATTGATAGAATACTTTACAGACTACAAATTCCCCATTAGTTTCATCTTCGTTTACACCAAGATGGTACTGATGCATCACCCAATTCTTTCTTTCTGGCTTACCACCAACTTTCTTTGGAGCTTTATAAAGAACTAAGATCTTCTTCCAGCCTTTTCTCACACCATTCTCGTCCAGTACGGGTTTGGATGATCCGGTCTTATGCCACCTGCTGTTCCCATTAGCAACACCGTCACAAATGCCGCCGGTGGCAATAATCCTTCGACGCTTGCGCTTACCGGTGTCATATGCGTTTAATACTCTATTAAAGAAATGGAGGCAGCTGCCATCCATCTTCATACCTAACAGAAAAACAGAAATGTATGAGCTAATCAACTACCTTAAGGCGACTACTACATGACATGAGATAACTTATTCGTTCCAAAGTCATTGATGAATTCAAAAGTAACAATCATGTACCAGGCAGATTTTTGGGATGTGTATAGCAAATTCCCTCCTCCTCTTTTATAGTAGGTATAAATTCATCAATAAGCGTATGGGGCACTGAATTTGGCTTGCTGGATTTTCCTTGCAGATGCTGCAGAAGCTCTAGGTCTGTGGGATCAAATTTGACACCAGCAGGAAGTGCTGGCCACACCAAAGAAACCTGCAAAGCATGGTATGAGGTTCCAGAAAAAAAAAGACGTCCAGAATGTGAAACATGTCAGTCAATGTTAATTGAAATCCAGCCTTTTACGGCAATTAAATAGGGTCCATGACAGTCATATGGCTAAGAAAGTGCAGGCATGACAATGAAGCAATGGGCAACCAATGAGTCAATTCTATTAAAAAGAATGGTGAGCTTTAGTTTCGATGAGGGCTGTGGCCATTAGACTTCGAACAGAACACCTTACTACAAGTTATAGCTTCATTGTTTCATATAAGGCTCCTTTTGCATCTCTGTCATTTTGCTACTACATAATGAAACTGTGACATCCACGTCATTTTGCTGTGCATCAAATCTAGAAACAACTCATTAAGTTTAGAGAAAATGACCTACAGAAGTTTTCCTACTTGTGTTGGATCAGAGTGCTTGATGGAAATGATGTCTAGAAAAACATTTTCGAAATTCAATGAGGGCCAATCAAACAACAGAGCAAAAAATACATAGAGCGGTCATAAACTCATAACTAAGTAGTTAACTGAACTTACATTACTAATGTCAATGTCGCAGTCGCAGTTGGTGCATTTGATATGTGGTTTTGCAAAAAGTTCACCAAATCGGAGGGTGAACGACTGAGCTGCGCTTCTTATTTTCTCAGCAAAACCCAACACATTCATAATCCAGGAACTGAAAAAGGTACATCATTCATTTCTGTTAGGATTTAGGGTAGCATCATTCGCAAACAGAAGATAAACTCAAGCAAGAACTTTTAAAGAAAAATAATTAAGTGCAAATGACGATGTGTAGCAGAAACATGATCAATAGAGCATTTGACCCATGGACCCCATCGACATGCAATTTTTAAGCTGCTAACTTTCCCCAATCATTGCCACACTGTGTCCCATTATGATCCATTGCTGCTCCTTCCACAGCAAACACACCAGGAGGCTAAACAGAACAGAGCACTCTGTCTGACATTTGACCTTGCACGACCCTTAGATTAGCAGTCACCATAAACGGAGACTAATACTCTTTGTTCTTACAGCAGTGACTGTCATTTCCGCACCACCTCCTGCTTCGAGGGATAAATAATCAACACGCTGGAATCCCAAATCTCTTCCTTTTTCCGACCACATCAAAATCATCCAAGCCCAGTGTCAGATAAGGTCATCCGCGACCAGGCAAGGGGCAACACATAGGACTGATCAGTCATCTCGAAAAAAAAAACAATCCTTATGCTTCCTTCCAGAGGAAGATTCCTCTTGTGCCTCAACAGACTGCAAAAACGATGCACTGGAGTGTATGAAGTAGTAGTACTTGGCATGATTCGCAAACGCAATGTCCAAGAGTTGCCTTTAGTCTTGTACCAGAACACACGGATGCGAAATCCCCTCTCTTCCTCACAACCATCAGAGATCGATGGAGCTCAGCCGAACAGACCGCACAGGATCCATCTCCAGACTCCAGTCCGCAGCAAACAGAGCCTTCCTCTGCTTCCTCACAGCGGAGCTCGTTTCCGGCCGATCTAGAGCACATCCCGTCGTCGTGGCTCAGAGATCATCCTCCCGTCCCGTCGCAAGCAAGCCCAGGAGCATCAGAGCGGCCACATCAAAAACCAGAGCCGCTCGGTTCATCAGACCAACCCCACGCACCAGAATCACCGCCTCGTCGATCGATCGGCCCGAAAACACAAGAGGGCTGGCCGCTCCAAATCCGCAGAGGCGCAGACCACCCCCCAGTCCCCCAACCCCAACGGAACCGATGGCCTGGCCTCACCGAGCGCAAAGCTAGTACTAGTAAGCAAGAAGAAAAACCACCAAAAACAAACGGCGACTTACGTATCCATGGCCGGGAGCGGCCCCGCGGGGCAGCGGAGCGGAAGCCGGCTGCTGCTGCTGCGCGCGGAGCGCCGCGCACCCCAGCAGGAGTAGGAAAAGGGTGGAGAGGAACCTGTGAAGCTGTGCGAGGCCTGGGAGCACCGGGTGGCCGCGGGCGTGGCTTTTATAGTGGCAGCTCGCAAGGAACGGTCTTGCGCCAAAAGGGTTCAGCTTGCGCGGCCGGTTTTGGGTACCGCCGCAAGCAACCCCCTCACTGGCTCGCCAGCGCCGAGGCCGGTGGCACTCGAGAGTTCACTCCCTCTCATCTCTCCGGTGGGACCCTGTTCTCTGTTGTCTCTGGATTCTGGTTCCTGCCCCTGGGCCATGGGGTGCCGCCACTTTACTGGCCGAGGCGCGGCACTCAGCGTGGCACCGTGGCATCTTTTCTTGCCGCGCAAGGCAAATGTGCGCAGAATGTCATTCTTTTTTTTTAATTATAGTTATTCCTATGTGACATATAGAATTCTTCACGGGAATCGGACGGCTGAGTATAATGGACGACGTGGCTCATTAAGGGCTCGATTTTGGCCCCAATGCCACCAGGATCAGGATTCGTCTTATAGAGATGACGAAAGTTTTCCCTTTTAAATTAATTGTTTAGTATATGAAGCAAAAAGAAAAAATAGATAAGGATTATATTATTTAATTATTTATCTATGTTTTCTTGCTTAATTTACGAATTTCAAAAAAAAAATTCTATTAGATTGGATTTGTTCGAGAATTCGAAGAATTACAATAAAATCTTTAAAAAACACATTTTTAGTTAGGAACTTCTATAGATTTTATGGTTCTTTAGGGCATAATTGGTTCGTTTCCCAGGCGAGCCTGGCCAGGCTGAGGAGGGACAGGTTGAGTGCATGTAGGTGCTTCTTGTTTGGTTCACAGTATGCATAGAACCTGGCTGAGTAGGGACTTTGTTTGGTTGGTTGGATTAGAAACAACCTACATCCAGAGATACACATGCACTTGTTTGGTTAGCTGTATACAAGTAAGTTCAAAAACCCAATAACTAGGTTTGGTGAGGTTACCTCCTCAAGTTCCATATCCCAGGTGCTCACATAATTGACACAAAACAACAATTTTTGCAATAAGAATATAGGTTGTCACAAGTGAGGTCTGATAATAATGTATTAGGAATTATGCTAAAAAATTAAATTAGAGTAATGAATATATCATTAGCCATGGGAATGTACTCAACACCAAAACAAATAGCAAATTATCTAAAATAGACATCATTGATAATGGATTTGTGCTCAGAATTGCAAGTGCAAATAGTGTTCAAGTTGATATCACAGCCAACGTACAAATGCACAAAAAATAGCATATGAAAAGAAAAGGCAAAGGAGAATGGCTCAGATATAAGAACATTGCCATCACATAGCAAATACATATAACAAAGGATCGTAGAAGAATGAAACAATTAATTATCTTTGCACAATTCCATTGTCTCAATCTAAAATACAAGTTCATCATTGCACAACCCCATGGCCTCAGGAAACAAAGAACATTAATAATGAAACTCCATTGCCTCAGAATTTAGGTAAATCATCACTCCACATGGACATATAATCTATTATGGGGGTGTTTGGGACTGCTCCGCTCCACATTTTTCAGCTCTGTTTCACGTTCTGTAGCCAAACGGTTTCAGCTCCACGCACTCTGTTTGAGGAAAAA